CCCGACGCCCAGAGGCTGCTGTGCCTTCACTAGGATTTCACTCAAGTTAGCGTGCACTTTTCCAACAGGTTTAAGCTGGGCTAAATCTGCCACAGAAGATGGTCCTACAGCTTTCCCACTCCCAGCTGATCAATCTTGCTGCCTTCATCAGGAAAGGTCAAGGAAAGCTGACCTTGATTTTGTTCGTTGCTTTACATATCAGAAAAAACAGCAAGAAGAGGCAAGAAGAAACTGCTTTTTTTTTTGCCTGTGTGGCAAGGTGAATATGCACAGGGGCACAGGAATGCCAGAGCCAGCATAAACTCTGTACCTGGCTTGAGAGTGTATGGTGGGTGAAGGGAGTAAAGAGCAGGATCTTCCCTTTTTGTCAACAGCAAGCTGTTATCTCAGCTACCGTGTAATTTCCTAACATGTAATTTCAGCCTCAGATGCAGAATCCAGCTCCCATAGTCATGCAGCCACCCTTACCAGCCTGATGGCCCAGGCTACTCCATTCATCAGTGTGGCACCTAGCTCGGGGTAACACCTCGCAGTTACCGCCCTGTTCGACAAGCAAAATGTCTGTTCAAACAAAGCAGTTTCAAACACCTCCCTCTGTACTGAAGCAGAGAAGGATGAGAGTTGGCTCCCGGAGAGGCTTTGACATGGGACAAACACAGGCTTGTACAAAAGGACTTTGAGCTGTTTGCAGAGCTGGTTGTTGCTGAAACTTAAAGAAAATCAATTTCTAAAATGTCCGACGCCACCTTTTTGTGCATAAGCAAGGCTCAGCACACCATCAGTGAAGGATTTTCCTGCATTCACTGAAACTCACCGGCACATTCCAATAAATTGCTAACAGAAAGCCCCATTATCTATAAGTGGAAACGTTTGTGTTCCTCCAGGCAGAAAGCCATCAGCCATTGCTGTGAGGATACAAACAGGTTTATCACCCCATAGTTAACTTCGGGGCTAACACTCCCTGCTCCAGTGGGATTTGAGAGATGATGTCCACATGTAAGGATGGGCTTCCTGGATCAGTGTAAAACCCCAATGACTGTTTTTTTGTTGCAGGCAGCAGTCAAACATTTAGGATACTGAACAGAATAACCCCAAACCCTGTCAGCTGCTCCTTCAGTTCTACCATTAATGCATCATGGAAGAACACAGTACTTAGGTCTGAATCTTTCCGAAATCTATATCCCACTAGATGTGCATATTTACACTTTAAAATGTGTAACTTGCAGGAAAGATCGTTGCCAGCTAGCAGAAAACACCGGGCGACTGTACAGCAATCACGTGCCGCTCTTAATAGCAAGTCACCTGCTCTGTGCAGAAAGGTAAGGCCTTACTGCACTGAGATAAGCCTGGGTAATGATAATAGAGTCTTTGTTGAAATACCACCCCATTGTTCAAAGACTGGTGTGCCGACACTGGGAAAACAAAAGGAAACGTTTCTAGCCCTTAAAAATCACAGCAGAATCACGAGAGGTTGGCAACAAAGCAAGTCAGTCATGCACAGAATTAAAAAAAAAAAGCCAACAGCGGCTTTCCTGTTGTGCACATAATAAAAAAAAAAGATTATTCTCTGTGCATTGTGGTCTGACCTTGGAGTGAGTAGTAAGGGGTAAATATCTGCAATTCTCATCCATCTTGGTGGGATTGCAGCCTGGAGAGAAACCGAGATGCCGGTGCATGGTCTTAATGTGGCTCCCAGGACTCAAAATGCTGGTGTGGAGGTACTTGAAGGTTGACCTGCCTCTCCAATACCAATTTTTCAGAAACGGTTTCAGCAGATGCCAACCCAGGATGGAGGGGAACAACAACAACAACAACAAAAAGGCTCTGTGTGCTCCCTGACGGAAAACCTCCGTCGGGTTTTATCCTGACCCTGCTGCAGGCTGGGGTAAGGACGAGTGAGTGCTGGTTGATAACCGCACGCTCCAAGGGCCGGCGTCTTTGGGCACATCCACGTTCCGACTTGTGGAGCCCCAGCCGTGGCAGGCTCTGCCTCGCCAGTCCTGAACCCCCCCACAACACGCATCAAAACTTCCCAGCGAGACCGTGCTCCGAAGTTTTGAGTCAAAGTCCCGGAAAGGCTCTTAACCCCCCTGGGAGCCCAGGCGGAGCTGAAGTAACCCCCCCGAGCTCACCGCACCGCCTGCCACCGTGCAAGGGCTTCCCCCCGCACCTCCAGGTGGAACATTTCCCCTCCCTCTGCGCTTTAGGGGAAAGCCTCAACCCCTCCATCCCCGCCAAGCCCCGTATATCGGTCTATACGCGTGTACATCCACCGATGACACAAGTTGCTTCGACCCCTCTGCCCGAGCCGAGCCCTGCCGTGCATTGTGGGAGCTGTAGTTCGCAGCACTACAAGTCCCAGCCTCCCGGAGGAGGAGGAGGAGAAGGAGGAGGAGGAGGACGGGAGCGGGCTCGGCCCAGGCCTCCAGCCCGTGCGGAGAGCCCCCCCGGGGGCGGGCCGCGGCGGCATGCGGCTCCCCGGCCGGCTCGGCCCGTTCCGCAGCACGCCCC